CACACACACACACACACACATACATACACACACAATCACATACACACAAAACACACACACACACACACACACACACACATACACACACGCACACACACATACTATACAAAAAGCCCACACACATGCAAAACACACACACACACACAGACACAAACAAACAAATAAACACACACACATACACACATATACACATACAAACACACACACAAGTACTCACACACACTTTTTGGGGGGCTCTTTAAGGACGTAGTGGTCATGATATGATCGGCGGCAGACATAAAGCAATGTTGATGTATGCTGGGTTTTTTATCATCCTTTTTAACAAAATGGAGGCAATGTAGATCATGTAGGAGGCGGGTTTTTGACCATGCCTGTCAACGCCAACCCAGGTCGAGGGGGCTTCAACATCCCAGCACAAAGACCGAGATAAAATACTCAAAAACGAAAAAGTCTTCCCAACTGGGGAATCGAACTCGGGTTACCTATGTGCAACAGAGAAGCCCCTAACTGCTAAACCGCAGACTCTGGTTGGTATCTTTAGTCGCTTTTAATGACAAGGCACCAGAATTCGGGGGTTTTCAGAAATCTTAACCTACATCAAAAATGGGCTTTGCTCTATCTGTAGGAGATGTTTGGTTTGTTTGTTTTAGTAAGGTTTTACGGCGTTCGGAACTGAAAAAGGTCATAAGAGCACCAAGGGGTGGATGTCAACAGAAAAGTCCTTACAGGGAACCAGACTTACTCTGCTAACCTCTCTAGCTTCAACAGCACAAAGTCTGCTCCGACTATCAAGGCACCCTGGAAATAGCGGGTCACAAGAGTGTGACAAACATACAACAGAAGAAGAGGAAAAATGACGATGGTAAGGATTAAGAAAGAAAAAGCAGCAGTTCCCTGTTGCAGTTCAGGCACAGTTATGAGCATGACACTGATGGATCAGCCCATTCACAATTACAATTCTACTGTGCATAAGGACTCAAGATATTAATGTCCCCCTTTGGGAATGGCCTAAAGACACTTCAGTCTGTAGCACCACCCCGGGGGGTTTGTTTGGTTTCATTGGCGTGTATATTTGTTTGGTTATAGAGAAAACTCTCCTGGTCTTTTAAAGAAACTGAACAAGGGGCAAAATCTTTACCTTCGATTTCCTCAAAAACAGCATTTTTCGGGATAGCCCCCCTTGTGCTTACAAGCGACCATTTTGAACCATCATTCTTACATCAGAAACATGAATTTGAATATTTCCAACTGTGCACGTTGCCGCGAAAGTGGGTAGTGAAGGGCTCACGGGTTCTCAAAGTGCCGTGGCTCACCGTGAGTATAGAAAAATCACCACTGTTTAGTTCTCATCGCTTGCTGTTTGGTGTTAAAGAGGGGAAAGCAACGTAACCCCCCCTCCCCCAAAACCCTACTGTTGGTCCACCCACCGCCACTGGTATGTTGTCCCCGATTTTTGGGGTTTTTTTTTTTTTGGGGGGGGGGGTTGTTTTTACATGTCATGCAAAAAAAACTCCAACAACAACAGAATTGAATATCAGGTATAAATAAGAAAGTTAAGTTTCTTTCCTTATTCTTTGAGGTCGTGCATTCTTGTCATTCGACAGCACTTGAGGGTGCACAGTTTGGGGCACTTCGAACAAAGTCTCCCAAAGTCCAAAACTCGTCCACGGCGAGGGAGATGGAAACAGGACAAAGTAGGGGATAGCTGGGTCTGGGTGAAGTATGGTGTGACTTTATGTCACTGAGGAGTTACGCTAGCCGTGAAGGTCAACCTGGGTCACCCTGAAACGTTGCTGGCCAATGGGGTCTGGTGAAGTTGCGACGGGCCTAGCAAGCCAGTAATTGGATTTTATAAAGCTGATAAAAACCAAAGAAAGGATGAAAGTTAGTTTAGTATGGGGTTTTACGGCGCTCGCAACTGCATAAGGTCATACGAGCGCGCGAAACACAAGTTAGTTTTTTATTTGCAGTTCACTGCATGGCTGGGCACGGGTCATTTGTTGATCTTAAAACGTTATAATATAGTGAGGTGCAAAAAAAAACGCGAATTTTTTTTTATGTCGTTGTAATCGCCCAACGCTGAGTTCATAGTTGTGTGATGTGAACTCATATCACTGAACACTTGCCTCAAGCGTCTTGATTTGACATTTTTTAGCATCGCAAAGATGTCATTGGCTGCGTAAGCAATACACAACTCACGAGTCATCACTCACCACTGGGACACATTTGCGACTTGTTGTCAGTGGTGAGTTTATGCTCACTCAGTCCTGGGGGTATGCCTATAAAATCCGCGCTCGAAATGTTGCATTCATATCGAAACAGACAAGCTACAGACATGCCAAGGTTATCAAGAGAAAACAGAGAAAGAGCTATCGGGCGACTGGCGGCCGGTGAGTCGGTGGAACAGGTGTCCCAGGTTTTTGGTGTCCACCCAAGCACCATTTATCACCTTCGGAACCGATTACAAGTGACAGCGACCACAGCAGATCGACCAAGAAGCGGAAGACCAAGGGGGACAACTCCGGCCCATGATTGTCATCATTCGTCGGCACCACCGCGATCCGTTTCTGCCGGCTGCAGAGACTGCCAGAACAATCATAGGAACGACTTGAAGCCAACTTAACCTCTTGACTGTGCCACGGATGTTAGTGACTGCTGGTCTTCACTTCAGGCGTCCTTACCAGGGAGCTGTCCTAACACCAAGGCATCTACAGCAACAGATACAGTGGGCACAGGCGCATGTCAACTGGCAGAACACACAGTGGAGGAGAATCCTCTTCAGTGATGAAAGCAGTTTCTGCGTCGATCCGGTGAATGGCCGTGTCCGTGTGTGGCGTAGAGACACGACTCGCTATGACGACAACAACATTCTGGAGCGTGACCTCTGGGGAGGCGAGAGCGTGATGATATGGGGAACCATGGCGTTGAATCATAGAGTGGGACCTGTCATCTTCCAGAACATTGGTCCAGGACGTGGAAACGGCGTCACGACTCAGCACTACATTGCACAAGTCTTGGCACCTCATGTGGTGCTCTTTCTACAGAGCCATCCGAACTGCCTATATCAACAAGACAACGAACGACCACATACCGCACGTGCTACCCAGAACTTCTTGGCGCAGAACAATGTCAATTTATTGGTACACCCACCTCGCTCACCTGACTTGAACCCTATTGAACATTTGTTGGACATGATCTAAAGACAGCTTAACCAGACGCAGCCACGGCCTCGAACAGCAGCCCAGTTGACTGCAGCCATCATCCAGATCTTCGGTGGCATCCAAAATGGCCAGACCAACCGTTTGATTAACTCTATGAACAGAAGATGCTTCGCTATAATCGCTGCACGCGGAGTCCATACGCGTTACTAAGTTTGCTCACCAAGGTCAAGGTCAACGTGAGCTTAGCTGAATGTGCTGGACCCTCAGTTCATGTCAGCTATGTCACTCAAGAAGAGTGCAAAGTTTCTGTTAATAAACACAACAAATACCTTGAAACCTATGTGTTGTATTTTGTCAATCATTGTGTTGTAATAAATATTCGCGTTTCTTTTGCACATCAGTATATTTAATATTTGGTGTAAATATTATTTTTTTTCAATCTAAAATAACCTTCATAAAAATCTTTAATAATTTAATTCTGTGTACAACTTCCCATAAAGGCCAATGGCCTTTAAAAAATCCAAAATTCTGTTGGAACCAACGAAGGAAAAAATGTCTTGCCATTTTTTGCATTTAAAGTATTTCCTTTGGATCTCTCCAAAGTCTAGACTTTCGGTTAAAACGTGTCTAATGGTGAAATCTGAGTCGCATCCGACACAGAACGGCTTCTCATCTCCCTGAAGGAGGTATTTGTGTGTTAGGGCCGTGTGTCCGATGCGTAATCGAGTAAAAATGACTTCGTCTCTTCTGGAAAGGTCCGAAGGATTTCGCAGACCCAGTTTTTGTTTAATATTATAGAGTTTGTTACTCGTCTGTTTTTCGCAGTGGCTCTCCCACAGACTGGAGGAAAGGATGAAAGCAAACGGACAGACTCTAAAGGGAAAAAAACCGAAGACCTGTCTGGGTGGGATTAAAAAAGGTCCTGGAACAACATAACATATCTATCACAGACGCTTCACACCTAGCACAGGACCGAAAACTGCACCTCCCCTCGACCTCCTAAGGATACCAGAGGAAGGAAAAAGTAACAACAGTAAACTAAAGTAAGTTTGAGCAAACAAAACTGTCTATCCGTGTTATACTGCATCTCTTACTATTTCTTCAAAACAAACAAAATATTTTTTATATGACTCTCCTTTCTTATTCGATATAACTTTTTTCTTTTTCTTAAAAAAAAATCTAGATCTATTTTTTAATGTGACTTTGAACTTTGACCCACTTGCTGCTTTTACCGTCCTCCGCCAGGAAGGTTTCCTCTGCCAGGTCGTCAGGATCGGGAAACTCTTGCTCATCTGGACCCAGATTTTTCCTGATGACGTAGTTGGGGGGGGGGGGGGAGGGACAGAGAGAAGGGCGGATAGTGCTTGTTTGTTCTAGTAACATTTTACGGTGCTCGC